TATGTATGTAATTATGTATGTACGTAGTATGTAATTATGTGTGTATGTATGCACGCATGTATGTATGTATCCATGCATGCTTGTATGCATGTATGCACATGTGCCTCAACGCCTGCATGCCTGCATGAATCCATGTATGTATGTGGATGTATGCATGCATGCACGCCCGTGCATACGTAGGTAGGTAGGTAGGCAGGCAGGCAGGTAGGCAGGTGGGCACGTAGGTAGGTACGTAGCTAGGGAGGGTTGTAGGCATGCATGCTTGCAGGTATGTAAACTGTACAAACAGTATACTCAGTATATATTGCAGTATAGCTGTGTATATATATATATACACATACATGCATGTGTTACATACATATGTATGGTATAGTGATCTAACAGTCTATGCTAGAAGCTATTGTGTTTCTGTTTCTATGCACTGTAGAATCGATCTTCACATATTTTAGGTATTAACCTTTCTTAAAGCTCATCTATATCCACTATATCTATGATATTCCTTACATCCATTCTACCTGGTATGCTTGCTACATATCTTCTTCATGTATACTTACAAATAAAAAAGTAAAAGATAAAATAAAAGTATAACTGCAAAAACAAAACGGTGTGTGTGTGCGAATATAAATAAATAAATATATATATATATATATTTATTTATATTTATACACACACACACATATTGTGAGCGATTGTGTTATTTGACCTCATCTTTGTTAAGATTTTCACACATTGCACATTAGACGTTGAGTGCCATATCTTAATATTTAGTGTGCATCAAATACTGCATACTCTATATTATACAGTATGCATCCTAGAATATCTTACATTATTTCACGTTTTGCATTGTTTTGCGTTTACGTTCTAACACAATTCTAGCCTTCGGCAGTAATTTTGGCACTCGTACTCGACCAGGTCAGGCGAGGTTTGGGGTAGCAAACTAGGCAACAAAGGCTCCTTATATATATATACACACATCTCTCTCTCTATATATATATGTGTGTGTGTGTATGCACATAGTCACTGAGCAGAAATTCTTCTTACATACCTCCATATATATACATACAGATGTATGTCTGTATGTGAACCTGTTCCAGACAAACTATTCGTACTACGAGTACCAGGCCCAGGGCCTCTTAGCTGAGGCATGGCAGACAGTGGGCTCTGCTGGCTCTTCGGAGACAGTGGGCTCAGCCAAGCCGGTGCCGGTGGCTGGGCTCTTGGGGGATGCAAGACTTAGCTGGGCCTCGCGACTTTGGAAAACATTGCTCAAGGAAGTGCAGTGCTCTTTGGGAGAACTTTTGGGCCCCGACGACCGTGGACTTGGTGGAATCGGAACAACCTGGACTTCACCAGATGCTCTCTTGCCAACCGGGCTCGGGTTCTCCTCGCACTTCAGCGATTGTTTTGAAGGTGACGTGCGCATCACAGCAATCCCATGCGATGATCCCACATGATAGGTGCCGCTTCTCTTGAAGGCGGATTTGCCGTGGGCAGGATCATCCCGATTTTTCCTTGCTGCTTTCATGACTCTCTGCTCCAACATCTCGTCGATGTTGCTGAAATCCGACACACCCCGGGACGCCCTCGAAACCATTGAGTTAACGCGCAGCTTGGCGGACTTCGAGACCCGCGAGATGAACGAGGAAGCCCCGGCAACTTCAGGTTGAAGCGCGGCCTGAATTTTCTCCTTACTTCCCCCAATAAGCCAGGGAAATAGAAG